TATTTCAAAGTGTGGGGGTGTTTAGCCAAGGTAGAGGTTCCTTTACCTAAGAGGGTTAAAATTGGACCCAAAACAATAGATTGTGTCTTTATTGGGTATGCTGTGAATAGTAAAGCCTGTCGATTTTTGGTTCACAAATTTGATAATCCTGATATTCATGTTAATACCATAATTGAATCAGATAATGCAGAGGTTTTTGAAAATATTTATCCGTATGAAATGAAAGTGAGTCAACAAGTGAAAGACCTAAACGACCACGAGAAGAATCAATGAAAAATATTCTAACTAGTGAGAAACCTAGGCGAAGTACTCGACAACGAAAATCTGTTTCTTTCGGACCAGATTTTGTAGCGCTATTGCTTGAAAATGAGCCTCAAACATTTAAAGCAGCTATGTCTTCGTCAGAGTCAACTTATTGGAAAGAAGCAGTCAATAGTGAGATTGAATCAATTTTAAGCAATCACACTTGGGAATTGACTGATCTTCCTTCAGGAATTAAACCTTTAGGATCAAAATGGATCTTTAAAAGGAAAATGAAACCTGATGGGACTATTGACAAATATAAGGCTAGACTAGTAGTCAAAGGGTACAGACAAAAGTAAGGTCTGGACTACTTTGACACATACTCTCCAGTAACAAGGATAACATCAATTAGGATGTTAATAGCACTAGCAGCAGCATATGATCTTAAAATCCACCAAATGGATGTAAAGACAGCCTTCTTAAATGGAGAGTTAGAGGAAGAAATTTACATGGAACAACCTGAAGGGTTTATAGTTCCTGGTAAAGAAAAGAAAGTGTGCAGACTTGTGAAGTCACTTTATGGACTCAAGCAAGCACCCAAACAATGGCATGCTAAATTTGATCAAATAATGTTGGCAAATGGATTCAAGATTAACGAATGTGATAAATGTGTTTACATTAAAAACGTTATGAATCATGAGGTCATTGTTTGTTTGTATGTTGATGACATGTTAATAATGAGTAAAGAAATTAACGATATAAATGCTACTAAGCGCATGTTTTCTAGCAAGTTCGATATGAAAGACTTAGGAGTTGCTGATTTGATCTTAGGGGTCGGGATTATCAAAACTCCCCAGGGACTAGCATTATCTCAATCTCATTATATTGAAAAAGTATTGGATAAGTTCAATTACTTGAATTTCAATGTAGTCAAAACTCCAATAGATTTAAGTTGTACATTTAAAAAGAATGAAGGTCAAAGTGACTCTCAATTGGAATATGCCAGAGTGTGGGGAAGTTTGATGTATATTATGAATTGCACGCGACCAGATATAGCATGTGCTATTAGTAAACTGAGTCGGTACACTAGTAATTCGAATCAAACTCACTGGATGGCTATGAAACATGTGTGGGGTTATCTAAAATGGACACAACATTATGCTTTAAATTATAATAAATATACTGCTGTGATTGAAGGATATAGTGATGCAAATTGGATCACCGGGTCAAAGATGTAAAATTCACGAGTGGTTATGTATTCTACTTGGTGGAGGAGCTGTCTCTTGGAAATCTTCCAAACAGACATGTATTGCTCACTCCACAAGGAAATCTGAATTCATTGCTTTGGATAAGGCTGGTGAAGAAGCGGAATGACTCTGGAATTTCCTAAAGGATATTCCATTCTGGCCCAAACCTGTTGGACCAATTTGCATACATTGCGATAGTCAAGCAGCAATAGGTAGGGTAGGGAGCGTTATGTACAATGGGAAGTCTCGTCATATACGACGTAGACATAACACTGTAAGACAACTGCTCTCTAGTGTAATTATCACAATTGACTATGTAAAGTCAAGCGATAATGAGTCAGATCCACTAACGAAAGGCCTAGTGAGAGAGGCAGTTGAAAGATCATCTAAGGGAATGGGTTTACGGCTTAGGACAAGTCAGCATGACGGTAACTCTATCTAGCAGACTGGAGATCCCAAGAGCTAGATTCAAGGAGAAAAACAAAGTTGTGGCTGACGGCTCGACATTGTCAATTAACTCAATTCATTCTCATGATGAAGACAATGTTCAGGAAAAGGTTAAGACTCTAAGGCTTGTTAATGAGGTAATAAAGCTTAAAGTTTTTAATGATTTGCTAAGTTTGGTAGATTTGACCAAATAGTGTATCTACAAGATGACACGGTTAGAAATCACCTATGTGAGTGTAAAGTGGAAGCCGCTTCAAAGAGAATTTTATGTCAAAAGCCGATTCTCTATACACTCATGAAACCAGGAGTTGTTCATGGCTGAAACGAACACAACCGTAAGAATCATAAACAATAAAGGGTTATTTGTGTGACATATGGTTGTCTAGGTATACACCAAAGTTCGACGGTTCAAAGATATCACCTCTACCGATTGACCGAGTATATCCGACATATGTTCACTACGGAAAGTCCAAGGGGAAACCTACTTATCCAGATGCAATTAATCCTTGCTTGTAAAGTATACAATTCTCTGTGCATTCCTATGTTATAACTATTCCCCATCAATGTGGGGGATTGTTGGGTATGTACCAAGAAGTGATGGGAAATAGAGGGAAGGAGAGGAATTTGAAAAGTTTAGAACTTGAAAGGTTGAGAACTTGAAAAGTCCTCTAATGCTTTAATGGAAAAAGGAAATAGTCCCTCATCGGTAATGAAAATGAAAATTAAAATAGGAGAGTTTAAATAAATAAACACTCCTATTAATTGTTAAAAGGGTTGGAAAGAGGGACCCCCCTCGCGCCGTCGTCGTCGTCGCTCGCTCACTTCGGCTTCGGCTTCGGCTATGGCTACGGCTACGACTTTGTCTTTGGCTTTGACTTTGGCAAATGATCGATCGAGAGATAATTTTTTGCACAAATTTATTTTAATTATTTATTTAATTAATTTAATGGCAAAAAAAAATATTTTCAATTAATTAGTTGATAACAGAAGTTAACCGAAATGTTTTCAACTTTTTAGTTAACCCGACCCGACTCGGATTCGCGCGCGTGACCCGTTTTAAATTCCGTTATATTTAAAAATTCCCGCCATGACTGTTCAGAAAGGTTGCAACTTTCAGGAACAGTCAATACCATTTGAAAGTTTGCAACCTTTCATTAATGGTCGTGTCAATTCTGAAAGGGTTGCAACCTTTCAGAATATATTCTTCTTGCCTATAAATACCATTCAGTCTTCAGAATATTTCCCTATGAATTTTCTGATCTTCCTTCTTCTTAAAAAACACATATGTTTTCGTGTACTTTCCTGTTGTGGATTGATTCGCTGACAGTAGAGTTTTTGGTATCTATACTCTACTGATTAAGATCATTTTACCCTGGAAGGTTATATTCCAAATCAAACCTCGGATACTAGAGGGGAATAATTTCCTTAAGGGGACACTCTGAATTCAGTGGACTTGATTTTCTTCCTAAATTATCAAAAAGAGTATTTCAGATTCTGGTAAGTTTTACAGATTCAATTTTTTTTATAAATAAATTTTAGTTCATCTTATTTATTGGTTCTAAAAATCTCAGTTACTTCGTGTTTCTGACTGATTTATTACAATCAGTAATTTCTTATTTTCATAACACAGATTGACAACAATTGACACCCACACTAACCCTCCAATGGGAGAACCATTACTACAACCCAAACTAATAAATCTTATGAAATTAAGACATTTAAAGATACCAAAGTAGGTTTAAATGCAGAAATTATATAGAGTTCCCATAAACTCCAAAGGTTTAAATAAACTAACCAAACTAATGCGGCCAAAACTCTACTTGCGACAAGTCTAAGAACAAAGGGTACAACCTCGAAACTAAACAACACCTTAAAAAGTAGTCGAGTTTGAAAAGAGTGTACTTAAACAAGAAAGATCCATGGCAGCCTGAAAGAAGTGGATTACCCTTGAATCCAATCACGCTCAATAGTCATAGTGCCTGAAGATGTCTTGTACTCAACTAAGAACAAGCAAATCTAGTATTAGTACATAACCATCGTGTACTAGTAAGATCACGCGACTATTCTAGTCTAGTAAGTACAACACATATCAAAATTACAACAAGATGTGTATGTGTGTGTGTGTGTGTGCAGCGCGCGCGTATGTGCGCGTGTGTATGCGTGTGTGTGCGCGCGCACACACACACACACACCGATTATAATTTCAGGAGCAATGCATGATTCCACATCTTAATAACATCAATGGTTCTCTCATGGAACCCACACCCAAACTGTTAGCATATTGGTATGTGGCATCCAATCTAATGTTTATGTCAAAATGTGACAATCGAACTTATATTTATGTTGGAACTTGGCACTCGATTCCATATTTATGCCAGAACGTGGTAACCGATGTCAGTTAGTGTGTCCGAACGCAAAGAAAGGTGATTCATGAAATGTGGTTCTTCGATCATACAATTTATTTCAGATGTGATCAATAGACTTCATTCACATAGATGCATGAAATACAGTGAAGCAATTACTAACATACGTCATGCAAAACATAATTTTCCTCAAATCCAAGCTTGAATCCTCTAAGGAACTTGGATATTTTCTTTCCAGATTCTTTTTCGCTTGTTGTAGGTCTACAAACAATTACTACTTAAAAAACAACGTTTATCGACCAACACTATTGCGTCACTATATAATGACGGATTTTCAATGGAATTACTATTTTGTTGTAAAATTGACAGATAATTTTTTGAATAATAATATAGCGACGAATTGGCAATGAAATATTTATTGTGTCACTAAATATTAGAGAGAAATTTTGGCGCCTATTCTTTTTTACGAATTTAGTAGCAAAGTATGGGTAAAAAAATTAATAAATATTGAACGACGGAATAAGTGGGTTGCTAAACTTTTTAATATATTTTTATAAAATTTATATTATATAGTGAAGAAAATATCGGTCATTATATTTTTCTAAATAAGTACATTAATTTGAAAGTGATGGATGTTAGAATCCTTAAGTAAATCCGTTGCAAGTACTTTTAATGTCATATATTCTAGGGCACAGATTTATTTCCACATTTTCAAGCTCCCGCTCCAAAGAAACCTCTCAAAAGCTCCATCTCCATTAAAGCTTTTCAAGTCTCGTTGCAATCTCCATTGAAGTTCTCCCTCGCCTTTCTAGGTGTCCACTGCTAAGCTCAATCTCCCATCTCGATTTCAATTTCGTTTAGCTCTCCATCTCAATTGTGTTGTGGTATTTTTAAAATGGGTAGTTTCAAATTTTCTTTCTCCAAAATAAGAATCCCAACTCGTTTCTGCATTTGGATGTACTTAGATTCGCTGGATTTGGGTATCAATGGCTTCACTTGAAAAAATAATTGTTTTTCAGTTCAACTCGCTGAAAATACAGATTTTAATTGTTTGGTTGTATGATATTTTAACTCTTACTCTTTCTATTTTATTTAGCTTGATTGTTTGAACTAGGATTGAGATTTTCTCAAAATAGGGAATTTAAAACTTTAAGTGTTCTGAAAATAGGATTTTTTTTCTAGAAATTGTATTTCCCCTAAATGTCATGAGGTTAATAAAGAGAAGGAAATAATATCAATTATAGTTTTCCTGAAATGAAAATAATCAGTAAATATTTACACACTGAGCAACACAAAGGAATGAAAATAAATTTAGTATGACATACCTGTTTAGAGTTGCCTTGAATCGTTTGAACTTTTAAGTATTTTTCTGATTGAAGAGATTGAGTAATTATCTCATATTGATGTTTGCTGAAATTATCTTCCTCTGTCTGTTTTTTCAGAAAATAAATAAAAATCAGATTCATTGCTTATTGTATCATTGACTTATTCTTAACTGTCATAGAGAGTAGTACATTTAGAAGCAAGAGTATGTTTAGCAGTAAATGGTCGTTTTGACTAGGGAGTCTTTTTCATCCAAACTGTTGACTCAAGCTCATCTTAAATAAATGTATACCCACTATCTGACTTATGTTGTTAAAGTCTACAATTTGATAGATTTTATGAATGAACATACTTGACAAGACATTATTTTCTTATTAGAGTTGTATAGATGTATAGTACTGATGATTTATAATTGTGTTGGAGATTTGAAGTTATAGAGACAGAAGTAACAAGGGATCATAGTTAGAATTGATAGTCAAAATTCATCCTATATACATAATACAAAAATTTCGATGATTCATACTGTCTGTATGTTTGACACAGCAGCACACTTGTACATTAGGTAAAGAAAATTAAAAGAATGAAGTATTATCTAGTGCTTAGAAACTACTTCTGTTTGATTTTTGTATTTTGACTGAGATGGTCAACAAAAGTGGACTCTTCATTAGATGAAAATTTTACTTTCTCCTTTCATTTAGAGCCATGTATAGATAATTAAAAAAAACTTAAATCATTATATTCAAAAAACTTAAATCACTATCCAGACAACTACCTATAATCTGATCGCATCCAAACAACAACTCATTCATATTAATTGTTTAGTTTTTATTTATGTTGTTATTGTTTCATATTCTTTCTAATAACCAAGGTAATGAAATGCTAAAATGTTGCAGGCTCCTGCTGTTATAACTTCATCATTAAGGCCTGCTTGATATTCACTTGAAGTAAGTCTCACTCATCATTTCTATTTATGATTTAGCTCGAGATTTATGTTTTGAAGTATTTTCTTTACTCAATCTAACTATGATGAAGATTATTCTCATTATCTTGATACTATTCGAGTTAGAGTTTTTTAAGAGATTAGTGAAAAGTTTAGAGTATTCTTAATCTGTTGTGGGTGTTTTGAATGAGTTGTTGTTTGGATGCATTCAGATTATAGGTAGTTGTCTGGATAGTGATTTATGTTTTTTAAATTATCTATACATGACTCTAAGTGATAGGAGGAAACAAAAATTTCATCTAAAGTAGAGTCCACTTTTGTTGACCATCTCAGTCAAAATACAAAAATCAAACAGAAGTAGTTTTTAAGCACTAGATAATGCTTCATTCTTTTAGTTTTCTTTACCTGATGTACAAGTGTGCAGCTGTGTCAAAAATACAGACATAATGAATCATAGAAACTTTTGTATTATGCATATAGGATGAATTTGACTATCAATTCTAATTATGATCCCTTGCTATTTCTCTCTATATAACTTTAGTCTCCAACATAATTATAAATCATCAGTACTATACATCTACACAACTCTAATAAGAAAATAAAATCTTGTTAAATATGTTCATTCATAAAATCTATCAAATTGTAGATTTTAATAACACAAGTAAGATAGCGGGCATACATTTGTTTAAGATGATCTTGAGTCAACAGTTTGGATGAAAAAGACTCCCTAGTCAAAACGATCATTTACTGCTAAATATACTCTTGCTTCTAAATGTACTACTCTCTATGACAGCTAAGAATCAGTCAATGATACAATAAGCAATGAATCTGATTTTTGTTTATTTTCTGAAAAAAATAGACAGGGGAAGATAATTTCAGCAAGCATCAATATGAGATAATGACTCAATCTCTTCAATCAGAGATATACTTAAAAATTCAGAGGATTCAAGGCAACTATGAATAGGTATGTCATACTAAACTTATTTTCATTCCTTTGTGTTGCTCATTGTGTAAATATTTACTGATTATTTTCATAAAATTCTATTTTTAGAAACTTAAATTTTTCAAATTCCTATTTTGAGAAAATTTCAATCCTACTTCAAGCAATCAAGCTAAATGAAATAGAAAGAGTGAAGAGTTAAAATATCATACACCAAACAACGAAAATCTCTATTTTCAAAAGACGAGTTGAACTGAAAGACAATTAATTTTTTAAGTGAAGCCATTGATACCCAAATCCACCGAATCTAAGTACATTCAAATGCAGAAACGAGTTGGAATTCGTATTTTGCAAAATGAATCTTTGAAACTACCCATTTTGAAAATACCACATCCCTATTGATATGGCGAGCTAAACGAAATTGAAATCGAGATGGGAGATTGAGCTTACAGTGGAGACTTGGAAAGCTAGCAGTGGAGATTTGGAAAGGAGAGGGAGAACTTCAATGGAGCTTGCAACGAGACTTGGAAAGCTTCCATGGAGATGGAGTTTGAGAGAGGTTTCTTTGGAGTAGGAGCTTGAAAATGTTAAAATAAATTTGTGCCCTAGAATATATGGCATTTAAAAATATTTGCAACGGATTTACTACGGTTTCTAACATCAGTCGCTTTCAAATCAATGTATTATTTAGAAAAATTATAATAACGGATATTTTTGTCACTATATAATATAAATTTATAAAAATATATTAAAAAGTTGCAACCCACTAATTCCGTCGTTCAATATTTATTAATTTTGTCACCCTTTACTTTGTTACTAAATCCGTAGAAAAAATTAAGCGTCAAAATTTTGATCTAATATTTAGAGACACAACAAATATTTCGTCGCCAATTCATCACTATATTATTACTTAAAAAACAATTTGTCAATTTCACAATAAAATAGTAATTTCGTTGAAAATCCGTCATTATATAGTGACAGAATAGTGTTCGTCGCTAATATCCATCGCTTAACGCTGTTTATTAATAATGTCGAGCTAATATTTATCGTCATCGCAAAGTCTTACTTCTGTAAAATGCTTTCAAATTACAAATATTAGACTATCCTATCTTTTCTAGAGATGAAATATGAATTTTAGGAGAAAAAAGTTTCTTTAATACCTTCATTTATAAATATCATTCGATCAGAATTGTGAATAAGCAGAATTACATGAAATCATTTAACACTTCATCATCTGCACAATGCTAATCTTTGTTACAATGCTTACAACATAGCGTGCTTAGGGATTATGATTGGTAAAATTTATTCACTAAACCTTATTTGTGTGACATCTCATTTGTCATTAAAATTTTAATTCACCTAATGAGTGAAAATCACGCTTGAAATTTTCTTGGAAGATGAAAAAGCGTACAAAACTTTGGAAATTTTTAGTTTAAAAATTAGAGGAAATTCTCTATTTATAACCATTAAATGGTAGTATGAACATGTGCTTATCATATCTTATTAGATAAGACAAAACCTTTCTTTGGAAGTAATGACCATTTAGAAAAGTCATAACTCTTCAGAAGAATCATAACTAATCGATAAAGTTACAATAATTTGAAATAGTCACAACTTAGCATAAAATATACAACCTTTCATGTGAAAAAATGTTTATATTTAAAAATAATATATAAAATAAATATATACTAAATTGAGTGTTTTTCATTAGGGATATTACAGTAATTTAAGATTCAAGTTAGGGAGTTCATGTTTTGAAGTTGATATAAAATATATAGATAGATAAGACTGGAGTTCTTAATCTTTTTTCTTCATGGCAACATAGGCGTATCCAAAGGGGTCACCGGGTTCATGTGAACTCATGCTCCCCTCCCAAAATCATATATATTAGAGTAGGGGTGTACATGACCGGGTTGGCTCGGGTTTTTTAAATATCAAATCAAATCATTTGTGTCGGGTTTTTAAATTTATAAATTAAACCATACCAATAAAATTCGAGTTTTTTAACTTCGGGTTTTTTCGGATTTCTTTGGATTTTTTGGGCTTTTTCGAATTTTCTGATTTTTTTAGTAAAGTATTCATACAAACATATAATTTACTTGTACATCAAATATTTCTTTAGTCCTACCAAAATGAAACTAAGTTATTTCTCAAGAAAATAACAAAAAATATGATATGGTTAATGACACTAAAATCTCCAAAAAAAAAATAATAATAGTAAAATCGCGTAAAAAATATTACAAATTAATATGTCATAATGAAATTGATCATAATTTAAAATACTAAATCATGCTAAAATAAGTTTAGCAAGTATCAGTTACATGCCTAAACATTAAAAGAAAGTAAAATTAGATCATGTATTTTAATTATCTAAATATATGTAAAACTAAAAAATAAATATTCAATATCATCGTCATTCTTAGTGTTGAATTGTTTTCTTTTTGCATTAATATTAATTTGATTTTGTTTAAACTTTATTATAATTACCAACATGTATTATGAACTATAATCTTTATTATATCATTAAGAATTCTAACCTCCAAACATGAAATAAATATATTAAAAGATAAAAATTATGAAAAAGTTTAAGAGATATTTAAAGATTATATCAAAATAGGTATTTTTACGTATAAAATAAAATTTTAAAATTATATATATAATGTTGGATTGGTTTGGTCTCGGATTGATTTTTTTAAGTTGAAACCAAACCAACCCAAATATAGTCGAAATTTTTTTCCCCAACACCAAACCAAGTCAAACTACACCATTAGTCGGGTTTTTTTTTTCCAATTTGACTCGGTTTGCGGTTCGATTTGATTTTGTACACCCCTATATTAAAGTTATATTTTTTACAAGATATTAAAATATAGATGTGTGAACCTACACTCGGAGTATCAAATAATGCAATATTGACAGGGTGCACTTTTCTACGCAAGGTTAGAAATTTGAATTTTAATTGTTTTCTCAGTAGTAAAAAACCTAAATGTCGGACTGGTCAAATTTTTGTCTTAGATAACCTTTTTTGTAATAATGCACCCATCATCTTAAAATTCTGGATACATATGTGGCTTCCAATAACTTCATCTACTGGTTTTCGATCTAATCAACCCTTTTTGCTTTATGTTTATATGTCTTTATATTTGATTTTGTTTTAGTTTGTTTCTTATTTCATTTTGGCTTGGTCATTTTCATACTTAATCCTGTAAAAACTGTTTGTTTGATTTTTATTTTTTTTAAAAGGAACACTTTACTGTAAGGGTTAAATGCCATAATCCTTATTAGCAACTATGATTGGAGATAAAGTCACCGATTGGTGTCACATCACATATTGAAAAAATAAAATAGTAACACAAGTTGAGATTTAACCCTATATATCCGAAGAAAGAGAGAAGCTAATCATAGATAGTCTTTCTGTCTTCACAAAAGATAAACTCTGTATATATTCTATTCTTTTAAAATTAAATTGATGTAATGTTATGAAAAGAGAATTAAAATACAATTAATTAATTGTCAAGTTCAAAATAAATGTCTTTTTCTCTTGTTCATTAAAAGAAGGGATAATGCCCAAGTACCCCCTCAACCTATGCCCGAAATCTCAGAGACACACTTTTACTATACTAAGGTTCTATTACCCCCCTGAACTTATTTTATTAATAATTTTTTACCCCTTTTAGCTTATGTGGCACTATCTTGTGGGTCCAATGATGGTTGACTTTTTTTTTGAACTAGTGCCACGTAGGCTAAAAAGGGATAGAAAATTACATATAAAATAAGTTCGGGGGGGTAATAGGATCTTAGTATAGTATAAGTGTGTCTCTGGGATTTCGGGCATAGGTTGAGGGGGTACTTGGATATTTTCCCTTAAAAGAAAGAAGAGTGTGGAAAAAGTTACAAGGGGAAAACAACTACATATAAGAGATGAATCTTTGAGGATTATTATGTTTAGAGTTGTTGGACCCATCAATCAATCGATAGAGAATTACACATTTAATTTATGGTTGAGTATATATGTATATCATTCATCCTCCCAACATTTAAGTTAAATATATTGTTGGAGAAAAGATATAAAGTCATCATTGAAGTTATTCCAAATTTTTAAAATACACCTTAACTTTGTAACCGTCTTATTACCCCACTAAACAATTTTGAATATATATAATTATATCGTTTTTTGTCCATCTAATATAGAGAGTGGTACGCACTCTCTCAAAGAGAGTGAGCAGCCTAAAATAACTATTATAATTTTATTTTTACAGGTATTTTATTATAAAAAATATTTTCTTATTATTTTAACTTCTTTCCTTTTTATTTTTTCTCTTTCTTTCTTCTTTCTTTTCAAAAATTCATTGTCATCTCCATTATTGAAGTTTCTTACTTTCAACATCACCATTTTTACCACAACTTCACCTCCCTTTTTTTGTTACTATTAGTTTTACTCTCTTTATTTTTAAAATTTATCTGAATATACATTTTGAACAATTCGATAAACTCATTAGATTTCAAGATGATTAGGAAATATCATATGTTATTTTATTCGATTTCAATAAATTTCTTTCAATTTTCGAGAAATTAATTGATTCTTTTAAAATTATCATTTCTAATTTTGAATTTATATGAAAATGAGTAGTTGATGATACCTTCAAAATTTTAGTTTTTCTTAAAAAGTAACTAATTTTGTTATAAAGAATTCAATAAAGTCTAAATAATAGTTTGAATTTTATAAAGAATTTGATCGGAGAAGAAGAAAAAAAAGAAATGGAAGTGAGTTCCAATTTGACGTGGGAGGTGAAGAAAAAAAAATTAATGAAGGGATGAATCACTTGAAAGTGGGAGGTGGAAGATGAAATGAAATTTAAGATATATCAAAATTAAAATTCAAGAGAGAGAGAGAGAAATAAAGAAAGGAAAAGATAAAGGAAAAATTTTAAATGAAAAAATTATATTTTTAATTAAATTAACATGTGTCATATAATGATTGGAGTGTGAACTCACTTACTTCATAAAATTTGGGGCTAATC